AGATGACTTTGTCTTTTCAAATTAGACTTGAATTTTTTGGTATTTCAACCATTTCAATATCTCTGGATTCAGTTATTGATAATATATAGAAATTGGAAGAACCATTTTGCCATGATTTTTGATATTTCTTGTATTTCAATGTTGTAATTTATGCATCTGTTAGAAATGAAATCTTTTCCTGTTTTATATTGGGTCATCTTAGTGGCCAATCTTCTTTTAAGGACTCAATACCCTGTACTGCTCAGAAAGGAGAAAACATCAATAACACTTAAATAAACATGATATAGAAATACAATAAAAATCTATTAAAGGCAGCTACTATACTACCAATAACTATGGAAAAGACAATGGAAAAATAATGTAGAACTAGTTAAGAAGTTAAAATAATTAAAGGTAAAAGTAATAATAAAAGAATGAAAAAGGAGCAGAGAAAGGGAAAAAAGAAAAGCAAGATTAAATAAAAGAAACATTAAAAAAAAGAAATGTTTTTGAGCAAGAAGAGCAATCAAGAGATAAAAATCTGTTTATGAATTAAAGAAAAAATACATACACAAAACTAGATAGAGATAAGAAGAGTAGGTAAAATAAAAGCATAAGAGATTTAAAAAAGTAAAATAAAAACAATAGTTAAAAAAGAATAATCCCACCCCCCAAAAAAAGACAAAATTGGAGGGAATTCTTTCTGGGTCTTCTAGTACTGTAATCTGCCAAAGGTGTGTGGGGGATGTGGTGTTGTGGATCTCTTTTAAGGAGTGACAAGGAGGAAACTTATGATCTGCAATCTCACTCCTGAAGTCAAGTCTCAGTTTTTTGAGCCTTGAGATTTTTTTTTCTTTAGAAAGGCTCCGCACCCCTCTGGGCATAGTGGTACAAATTTGTAATCCTCACATTTGTAATATGCTGAGGAAGGAGGACTGCAATTGTCAGGCCAGTATGTACTATATAGTGAGGCCCTTTCTCAAATTAAAAAAGACTCTACTCTCCAATTTCCATTTTTGTGACATTGCCTTTGTTATGAGATTTAAAAATGTATTTTGGAAATCTTATGCTAAGATTGGTCCTGTTAGGTTTTCTGTGTTTGGCTTTTTCAAGAAGCTGTGAATTTCATTCAGCTCCTCTACATATTGTAAATAATGAAAGGGCTACAGGATTTAGGAACTATTATTAAGAATTAAAAGTGTATTGAATATTGGGTTGGGGAGAATGAAATGATGAATAAGTTCTATGCATATCAATCTTCTGAATAAAATCCAGCCAAGAAGAGAAGAACTGTATCTATCAGAGGAAGAAATATAAGAATTAGAGCTGGACACTGGTAGCTCACGCCTATAGTCCTAGCTACTCAGGAGGCAAAGATCAGGAGGATCATGGTTTGAAGCCAGTATGGGCAACTTCTATAAGACTCTATCCCCCTCCAAATAAAAACCCTTCCCAAAAAAGTGCTGGTGGAGTGGCTCAAAGTGTAGGCCCTGAGTTCAAGCCCCAGTACCACATACACACACAAAGAATTAGAAAGCATGCTTGCCTCACACTTCTTTTTTTGTGTGCTTGCTTAGTTTTTTATTCCCTAGTGTGTGCTCCAATTATTCCATTTGGAGGGGAAGGAACATAAGGCATACTGGTCTAATTCATCATGAGTGAGCCCCTAGAGGCTTGACTTGAACTGAGTACAGAGAAGTCAGTTGTTCCATTCCCATACTTGTGCAGAAAGGCAAACATGGATTTTTATGTGTGTTTGTGATAATGTGGTGAACATAATGTCTCAAGTGTCTAAGGTAACCTCAAATATCTTTCTTTTTTTTTCAGATACCTTTCTGAAGGAGCTTCCCTATTGTAACAGAAAGTCTTTGTACTGCCCAGATATAAGAAATAGGAGTAAATATGTCTGACTTTCAACAAATTTTTTTTCTTTTTTGTTTTTGAATATATTTTCACATACATCTATAACTATAAAAAATCCAGAACTTTCCATGACTTTCAAATCCCAGTGAGTCTGAGTGCATACCCATGGACCCTTTTCATTCAGCATCATAGAAGCCCCAGGGCAGGAGGGGACAACACCTGGCATAGTGGAACAAAGCATTTTCAAATTACATCTGCATGAAATTAATCAAAGCCACTGGTCCCCATTACAGAGGCTGGAAAAATGGATGAGGACGTGCAACACCAATGTGGGAAATGAAATAGTTGACACATTTACCAACAAAGAAGGACTGAGCCAATTACACTGGAACCAAATAAGGTTAGCTGAGTCACAAGACTGTCATTATTTCTGCCTGGAGGACCATGATGTGATTGCCTCTCATTATGAATCGCTTTTATTTCTTTAGAACTTAACTCTCCTGGTTTGTGAAGTAGGTCATGCAAACCCAAGGTATCATGATTTTAATGGGAAATATCATGCTTCTTTCTCTGGGTTCAAAGGCTGTCTTTGTCTTAGGGCTATCATTTTTCAGAGGTAGAGATAAATTAGGAAGTTTTCAGGTATTGAACAACATCTCCACTCACACCATGATCACAAAGAAAATATCCAAGTGTGCCTTGACTAATGTTACAGAATTTCCTGGATTGGCTTTCTGCTGGATGTGTGCTGGACGTTGGCAGCCATCCAAGCTACTCTACCCAGTTAGTTTTTATCTTGAGAGTTCTGGCCATATCCTCTGACAATTTTCAAAGCAGGCTTTAAATTGTCTCATAGGACAAAAAATGCTTCAGCTAAGTATAAAGAAGTATCCAGCCATGGAGAGAGCTAATAAAATCAAGAGTTTGCTGAAGAAGTGGAAAGAAAAGGTAGCAGCAAGTGTCAGGAGAGAAGCTGTTTTCCGAGGGAGAGTCTTTCAGTTTTTCAGTAGCTTTAGGACAGTATTAGCAATGGTTGTGGTCATTGTAGAGTCTGTGTGCCGTCTTGTGGTGAGGGTTGTGGACAGTAGCACTTTCTGAGATAGTGGAGAGGTTTAATATCTGCACTAATATGTCAGCCACCAGTCACATGCAGTCACTGAGATCTGGAAGTGGGCTTGTCTGACTTGTGTGAGGTACCCAAACGACTTTAAAGATTTAGCGTGAAGAAAAGAATGTAAAATATTTTACCAATAATTTCTTCATATTAGTTACATCTTGAAATAATATTTGTGCTCTATTAGGCTAAATGAAATATTTTATTAACTTAACGTCACTTGTTTGTTTTTGCTTTTTTAAAAAGTGTGGCTATCAGAAAATTCAAAATTATACATGTAGCTTAAAACATATTTTGGTATATATTTCTTTTGGATGGTTCTGTTCTAGACAATCAAGAATTCTAGTGTGTTCAAAGACAAAGCAACCACAGGAGGTACAGTTGTGCACAAAATGTGAGCAGGAAATTTGCTGTATCAAAATGCTGTCTGAAGGAGGTCCTCATAGGGCATAAGTGAGGCTATCGGAGGATGTGTGTAGTGTAGAGGTTAGAAGCATGACCTCTTGTGTCATATGACTCCAATCCTAGTTCTGCTACTTTCTGGCTAAGTACAAATTACTAATTTCCCCTTTTCTCTGTTTTGCATAAATTAAGGTCAAAATAATATTTACTTTTTTATTTTCTATCTCTCATGTAAAATGCAAGTTTTATAAGATCAGGATAAAAAAATTCCTGATTCATTTCCATAAACCTAAACACTTAAATCAGGTGATGGCATATATGGACGTCTGATAAATATATTCTAAATTCTGAGTGAGTGAATACTTAATGAAATGTGTTATGGTTTGTACCCCTCAAGGCCCATATGTGTAAGGCTTGATTCCAAATATAGCAATGGTCACAGATGGGACTTTTGGGAGGCGATTGAATTATGAGGGCTCTGACTTTATCTGTGGAGCCATAATTTGATGGCATTATTGTGGAGGAGGCAGCTGATGTGTCATGGAAGGCTATAACTTGTCTCTAGCCCTTCCTTTCTGTCACTTTCTCTTTTTCTCTGTTTCCTGGCTGTCATCAATGGAGCAGCTTCCTCTGCCACATGCTCCCAGTACCATGATATTCTGCCTTGCCTTGGACCCAAAGCAATGGAGCCTGTCAACCATCTGAAATTTGAGCCAAAATAAATCTTTCTGATTTTCAGTTGTTTTTATCTTATGTGTTAAATAACAGTGACAAAAAAATAGCACAATATGTTTATTTTTACAGGACAACATCCAGCACATTTTGGTACACATTAAGGATACAACTGATGTTACTATCCTAACTAACATATCAAATGATCTTTTCCAACAATTGTGTTTCCCTGTCCCAGATTCTGACACCCATTCAGAATCACTAGCCTGGAGGACATGATTCCATTTTTTTTTGCCCAGACTCATAAAGTCTCTCTTGACTCCTGTCCCGTCACACATCTGTTCTAGCCCTTCCACTTCCACTTAATCCTGTCCAATGTCAAAGTGCTTACCTGCCCAGAACATGCCACTATTTCATGCTTTGTACCTGCTGTTCCATCTGCCAAAATGCATTCTGCTTATTTTGTGCCAGACCTTTGCTCACATTCCATTTATATTAGGAAGCACTTCAGACCCTCTATAATGAATCCCTTCAGGAATCCCTTTGTTCCTTTATAGCCTCCTCTTATGCCTGAGCTCCTATGTTGAGCTACACAGAAGCCCATTGTCCCTGGATGGAGAAAGGTCAGGCATGGCTGTCTGTCCTGGCTCTGCCTTTCATTTACTCTGAGTTTTGGGGCTACCATCTTTCCTTTCTGTGAAAATGGCTCTTTTCTATTTCTTCTTCTTTCCTTCTTTATGCTAAAGGGCAGTGAGAACCCATACATTCTCCTTAATAAAATTTATTTGGAAGGTTAATTTCTAGAAATTTAGGATACTCTGGAGATTTTGAGTGTAGATCCTGGAGGGAAGACACAATAGAATTCAGAGAAGCTTGGAATAATTTTTATTTTATAGACCACAACAGATACCCCAGCCAAGCTTACTTAGAGGAAACCATATGGGTGTTGAAGGAAACACAAAGGCTTCCATTAATCTATTGCCAGGGTATGGAACTTATAATACCGGTTTGCTTTGATGGGTATCACTGCCATATCTTCAGTGCAGATACCGGTTTCTTTAACAATGTCAACTACTGCTGCAATTCTTAAAGTTCCTGTAAGAGTTGAGGACAAAGATCATCTCTCAGATACTCTAAAGTCCCCTCTTTTCTTCTAGGATCAGCTGTCTGCCTCCTGGGATTCAGTTTACCCAAGTCATTTGCAAATTGATCTCCTTTCTTAGCTTTTCTTACGTAATACCTCCCTCCTTCTTAGAACCCCAGTTTTGCCCTTATTGACCTCTTCTCTCCATCCTGCCTCTCTTTTCTTCCTCCCAGAGGTTCTGCTGTTGTATTTGTTTCCAGTTTTGCCTTCCTGGGTAATAGTTCTTCCCCTTGGCAGTTCCTGTACTTACTGTCCGTATGAAAGTCCCAGATGAAGGTTACTGGACTATCGGCACAGAGGCAGCGGGTGTATTTATAGTTGAAGGCACCTTGAACTGGGACATCACTTTTGAGGTATGCTTTAACCTGGGAGGGAGAAAAGACTCAGTGTTGATCTGGAAAATGGAAAGGGAAGGGAAAGACAAGAGAAGAAGCAGCTGGAGATGAACCGGAGGCACAGAGAAGCCACTTTTTTTCTTTTCTTTTTTTTTGGAGAGGAAGTGGGTTTTGAACTCAGGACTTCATGTTTACAAAGCAGGCACTCTGCTTCTCGACTCACACCTCCAGTCCATTTTGCTCTGGTTATTTTGGAGATGGAGTTTTGTGAACTATTTGCGCAGGCTGGCCTCAAACTATGATCTGATCTTAGCTTCCACAGGCGTGAATCACTGGTGCCCAGCTACAGAAAAGCCCGCTACTGTAGTGGAATTGTATGGGCTGGTTGGTGCCAGATTTTCTCTCTTCATGGCCTCAAACTCCTGCCTGAGCAGTGTGAGCCTGAGACTTAGATGGGGAAAGGAAGATGGAAGTGAATCCCCAGGGCAAGGTGAACTTTTCCTGGGGTGGTTCACCAGGGAAGCAGGCTCACCTTTGTTACCAGCTCAAGCTCTGGGAACTGACCTGCATGAACTTTTACCCTGTGGCTCAGTGATATGACAGCCCGAACACTTGGATGTACATGCTGAGGCCAGGCCTTTGTTGTCAGAATGGTGACCAAGCCTCAGCTGGGCTACCTTCTGATTTTGTGATTGTTGATCATTAAAATTCTGACTTTGACTTGCCTCCATTGTGAGATTGGAACAGTTACCCCAAAACCTGGACATTAGGTAAGCAAATGAAATCTCAAGAGCAAATTTTGTTGTTGTTTTCTGTTTTAACTTTGCAAGTTAAGATCTCAAAGTTCTGTAAATATCAACAATCTAGAGGGACCTGTGGATAGAATTCAGTAAATCTGTGAACTCAGATGGAAAAAAATTGCACCTTCATTTTTCTAACCTTTAGCTGAAATTTGGCATTCCTTCAGTCATGAAAGTCACTAATGCAACACAGTAACATTGGCAGTATGTGTATTTTTATCATGACTAGACATCACATGGTTCATAGTACTTTATATATTCAAATATCTTGAAATACTGCCTGCACTCATCACTACCTTTATCATAGGGCAGGTATCAGCATGGCTGTGTGAGCCTGGTTAAGGCACCCTGTCATCTCCCCATCCCTGGAGCTTGCTCAGATACCTGGTAACTCTATGTAGAACAACCCCCAACCTCAAATAGCAAAGTTCATTGGATTGCTATTCAGAATGCTTTTTAGAGTCTTGGTGCTTAGAGAAGTCTACCCTTGCCTTGTTTACCTTTTTATTACATTTGTAACAAGAGATCTTCATGAATCAGACTTTTAACAATTATATAACTGAAACAAAAAGTCAGAACCCAATGGATGTCCAGCATGGCACATGTGAGGTGTTGCCAAAGACCAGCACAGTTTAAGAAGATAGGTGTTCTCTCTTTAAGCTGAGCAACAATGGCTATCACATATGATGTCTTCATAAGATGAAATTTGACTTGTTTATAGTTAAAATGTATTAATTTTTGAGTAAACCCATTGATAAGGAAATATGTTAGTGTATCATAAGTTTATTTTACTTTTTTCTGTCATTGTTATCCAGTATGGTTGTTTTCTTATGTAATCCAATGCACTTTATGCTTGTAAATGTTTCATAGAGCTTATGAGATCAGCAAAATGGTCCACAGCACAAAAATGTTTAGCACTGTGGTTTAGCACAAGTTTTCTCGAGCTTTAAAAAGATTATATGATATTTATATTTAAATATACAATTACGGGTATAATCTACTGCTTTAATTTAAAAATAAATCTTATCTTGTACTTTATCAAAAATTCAGCTGTAAAAACTTTATAGTTGATGTAAAATGAGGTATTAGAAACTTTAGACTTACATGAACAAATTATATTTTTCTAAAATTTTAAAAATATGAAGATTTTTATAACTACACAGTTACTTTTTAATTGACAGCTACAAATGAAATTCAGTTAGCTAAAACAAGCAAAGTTTGCTTTTACATGAGTTCTTTTGTGTTTGAAACATCACTCAGTCTAAGGAGTTCCTTGTCCTTTTAATTATAGCTAGGTAAGGTTTATAGAGATTATGTTATGGTACTAGTATGATTCTTAAACTAATTTTATTGATTACAGCATCACATGCCATTTTGTTGATTTAAACACATTTTATCACACTTACCACTTTTTAGGGGAGGAAATGAATTTCATTATCTATCACCACCTATGACCACACAAGTGTTATGTACACATTTTCCTCATTCTCATCTGTGGTTATCACAAGCAAAACACAAAATCGCAAAACTATAAATTGGCCTTCTTCCCACCCCAGACTAGTATTCACAGTTCAGATTCTTGGACTGAAAACAGAAAAATTTGACAAAGCAGTTGAGATGGTCTTTGATTTATGTTCAAGAATCTTTTTTTTTACAGGTATGGGGATGTTTCTAAAATGCATTTTAGTGAATAGTCATGTTTGTGACCCCACTTTTGTTTCCTCTTTAATCATTGTTCTTGAATCTCACTTGAATTAAGAAATCCATGCTGTAGGAGAATACAGCATGATATAATGTTCTAACCCCAAGCTGCCCAAGACTGGTCCATGGAGCACCCTTCCACATGCATAGGGAGCTTATCAGAAATCTAGAATCTCTGGTCCCTCTGTAGACCTCTGAGTAACGGTCTTCCATTTGACAAGATTGCCAGGTGAATTTTAGGCACATCATGATTTTAGAATATCTGTTGTATTTCAGATATTGGACTTCTCCCCTGGAGAACTACCAAACTCGGAAAAGGAGGAGAAGCATGTGAGCTCCTTCTGGAATGTGGGAGGCTGGAATGAAACTCAACTTCTGGTGACTTGGAGCAAAAGAGCAGAGGGAGGGTGAGAAGAAAGTGGACTGAGCTTAGGGCTTACTGGAGAGGAGCAACAATACTCTGCATGTTCTCTACTCCTCTACTGCCTCAACCTACCACATGAAAGTTTTTCTTCTGAGAGAACTTCCCAATCCTCCCTTCCAAACCAAACATGCCTAGGACTTAGAGGAACTTTGACAGTTTTCCACCAGCTCTTGGACATTTATTCCCACTTTTCTCTCTTCCCATCCTTTCTTTCTCTCTTTTTCTTTCCTCCTAGACCTCTCTGGGCCAGGGTTTCCTTATTTGTAAAATGAGAATAGTCATTTGCCCAAGGACCCACAATTATTCTGAGGCTCCGGTAGCTAAACATACATGTATATGTTTTACTAAGCTTGTTATACTGTACTAATGTGAGAAATGAATTAAACTATTCATAATTAAGAGTCAGATTCATCCTGAGGCCATTCCCCCAGGCCTCTACTTACCACCATGCATTCTCTCAGTTCTGTTTCAAGTTTAAGTTTCACATTGATCTCTTCATTTGCTTTTGCTTTATCTGGCATATCAAAATCGAATATGAGTATCCTTCGACTGTTTCTGAGAAAAGAAAAGCAGGGATCAGAGATCAGAGATCTCTCTCCCATGGGAGAGAGAGGGCACCATGAGCTGGCAGGAGGAATGGAAACAGAGCAAGGTAAGAAGATGAAGGGGGTTTGACCAACTGCTCAGAAATTTCATTCTAGTTGGATCGGATGTTTTACACAGATTTGGCTTTGGATAAGAAAGAACTGGGATACAATTTAAAACTGAACATCCATTGATAAAAAATAATTTTTTAAAAGAGAAATAAAGAATGAAAGTACAATGCCACATGCCATTTCCTAATAACATTCTATAGGTTCTGGCGCTTGTCTACTGAGCATGATGGAAGAACTCAAGTCATCCTTAGGAGACAAATTTCATATCCCAGAACCACATCAAAACAGTAAATATCTCAATGCTCTGGAGAATTTTATAGGACTGTCCTTGAAGATCATCCTTCTTTGGTTCCTGAACAAGGCCTCAGAATTAGTATTTGTTTACCTCTGTAAAGGATTTGGGCATGTGGGTTGGGAACACACAATTGGACAGGAAAAGGAAATGAAGGCACACAAAAGAGTCAAATGTTCCTCTTCAGTCAGTGAAGCCTGGTTCAGAGCCAGGAGAACTACTTTCTCTTTTTAAAGAAACCCTTGACCAAGGCCCTTTGGTGCTTTGTTTCTTAGCCCACGTGTTTTACAGTCCTATTTTCCTAGGGCAAAACATCTCAAGATTTTAGGGGAGATTCCATTTCATGTACCAATTGCTTTAATGCTCACTGCATAGGAAAGGGATGTAAAGACTTCATTGTCTTCAAAATCCCCTACCCTCATTTGTGGCTGAGTTTAGGATTGGTAGGATGAACATCTTATCTAGAAAGACTAACCATTCCAATTTGCTGATGACATAGGGTTTCTTGGAGGAAGGACTTTTACTGCTAAAACCAGGAGAGTCTTGGGCCAGCTGAGATGGTTCATCACCCTTATTACCAGAGTTTATTTCAACAACTTGCTTTCCTTAGGCCCTGGGGGATGTGACATTTGGACCTGACCCCTGTTCCAATGCTGGATTTTGTGGAGAGATTGCTTTCATTATACTAGCTTGTCAAAACCATGAAGTTGCCTCCAGGATAGGATATCTGGCTATGCTTCTGCATCACCATCCAGAAACCCAGCACTGCAAAGAAAATTGCCTAGATTTGCTGACTATCTCTCAGCTTTCCCCCAGACCCTTAGTTCCACATTTGACTTAGTTCTACTTTCCCAATTTTCCCACTTTCTTCAAGCATGGACCCTTAATACATTGGCTTCTGAACCTGTGATCCAAGGTACTAGTGAGAGTGTGATCCAGGTTCTAGTTTCAGCTTTGGCTTTAGGATAGGAAGAATGTTGAAGCTGCCTGCTTGGCTATCTTAACCTTAGACCATGGGGCAGTGACTAGGACCTCTTGTCCTTCAGTGAGTCTTGCCAAAGCTGCACAAAACTGTAGTGGAACTCACAGACCTCAAGATGTGAGAAGGTGAAATGTACTGAGCAGAAATCTGAACAAAGGTGAAGATTATGAATGATATATGGATCAGAGAGTTAGAATAAGAATTATTATTAATGACAGACTCATGTACACTGGGAGCTTTATTCCATAGGCAACTTAGAAGTCCAGAGGACGTGTAAGGGGTGCTGATGGGACTTCCTAAGAGAAGAGAAGTGGAACCTGCCATGAGGTCCTTGAGAACAACTGAAACTAGAGTTCTGGGTAATTTAAAAATCTTCAGGAAGGGCTATAAATATTTACAGGTTAGGAGAAGGATCCTTCCTATAATTTTTTGTGGGGAGAAGAAGGGCTTGGCTCACGTGTTTTCCTGAGCATCACTGACTTCCAGCTGCAGGCATAGGACCAGGAGCAGGGCGGCAGGGATGGCCCTGAGCAGGAACTGGAAACAGCGCATGGTGGAGGAGGCAAAAGGTGTTATCCTAGAGAACAGGATGCCAGGTGCCTAGCACATTCTTATATGCAGATCAAGGAAGTGGAAGAGCTGCCAGGAAGTGAATCACCCAATCACTTCCTTATTCATGATCTTTCCTTGTTGAGCTGAAGTTTGTTGACCTATGGAAAATAACAATATTCAGACAAATTGTCAGAATTTGGGAGAGATCGCTCTTCTTTATTTTCTCAGTAGCAGAGAGCTTCTGTAAATGGCCCTTCCTTGGCTCATGGATATGTTTTTTTTTTCTTTTCCCTTATTATAGCTCTATCTGTCCTGCTGGGTGTAGCTTTAGCCTCAGCCATGCACCCTTGTGCTCTGTAGGCTGTGAAATGGATGTGGTGCAGATTTCAGACCACAGCTCAAGAGCACATTTATTTGATCATATTAGAGTCATTTCAAGAGAAGATGACATCGAAAGATACCTTGGAGTCCTAGGATGATCAGGGTCCCCAGAGGATTCTACCAATCACTCAGTAAGACCACCAAGGAAGAGCCGGGCCACTCTGGAAGATGGAGAAATCTGGCCGTAGCACCAGTCACTTAATGATGTTTGTTGCTGCTGAGTCTTTCTGAACTTCAGGCATGGCAGTAAATCCTACAGATACCAAAGATTAGCTTTCTGAAAGTCTCCAGTGTAGGGTAATATTTTAATTCTAGATAATTCCTATAAGTAGCTGACACCTGAATCAGACTTTTTAAGTATGTGATTACATGTCAGTCAGGGTTATTATAAAAAGAAAGATGGCCACAGAATAAGGGAACATGAAGGGATGCTTTAAGGGCCAGCAGGAATGACCATAATTTTTGTATTACCCTTTACTTTACAGCTTCTTGGTGTTTTAGACTGATTTAAATTTACAAAACACTGGTTTAACCATTCTGACTTAAATAGCAAAGACTTTTATTATGGAAGGTGATCTTGTTTGTGGGACAACAAACTCAATATGTCAAATAATAAATATATCACTACAACATAGTTTCCTCAGTTGCTACCCTAACTGCATAGATCTGGAGGGTGAGGATGGAACCCTACACATCCTGCAGCAGGGTTTCCCCTGGGTTACCTTAAAATCAGGTAGGGAAATTCACCATGCAAAAACCCTTGTGTCCCAAGTGTTTTCCACAGGTGACATGGAGAATCAGTATTCATAGGACTGAATGCATTTGAAAGGGTCAATATTTTAGAAGGAAGGTAGAGTCTAAATAACTTGTCAGTTTTGTAGATGATATGTTGAAATGTTTTCAGAATATAATCTATGACTTAATTTTGATGATAATATCATTTTCTTGCCCATGTTATTGTTGAGAAACCCAATCTGGCAGATGCTTCTCATGAGGAAAATATGAACCCAAATTGTCACGCTGTAAACAATAAACAAGCCTAGTATGTTTAAGAGACCAAACAAAACATAATTAAGTAGATAAAATCAGGTTATAAACAACTCAGGAGGCTAACAGAAAAGATGTGCATAGGTATAAAGGAGGGAATAGATTAAGGATTAAGGAGAAGTTTGTCACAGGCTAAATTTACAAAGAGAAAGGTGATCCTACCTGACAGGTCTCATGAAAGAGGAATAAGGATTGTCCCCAAAAGACAGTTATGGAAGCCAATGCATGTAGAGGATGTGGCATGTGCACGATGCTGTTTTGAACATTTTCCGTGCATTGGTTCACTGAATCCTCATAACAACCCTGTGAAGTAGGTTGCCATTTTTATCCCATTTTATAAGTGGGGAAACTGAGGCACAGAAGATAAATTCCTAGTACAGGTCACAGAGGCAGTAACTGGCGGAGCCAACTTTGAATTCAGGCTTGGGAGATCTGAAAGTTTTGGTTTGTAGTATTAGGGAGCCTCTATCAGAGCTAGAATACAAACATACAAATATAAAATACAGATAGAGGATTTCAGAAGAGACACCTACAAATAAGGAGCCCTAGGTTGCACATTAGTAACTTAATGGTGAATACACCTGTGGATAGTGCCAGAAGTTGAACGCAGGTGGTCTGGCTCTAGAACCTGAACTGCAAACCACAGCACTGCCTACCTGCTATGTCAAGCTTACTGGTGAGAGCACATGGCAGTTAAAAACTGACAAGTGGCAGTTAGTAACTGGCAAAATTGGGATTCAAAATGAAGCAGTCAGATAGACTCTTTGTCCTATTTCTTAATACAACAACATTTTAAAGTTGAGGAAAGGAGACACACAGAAGCTTTTATAACTTGTTCAGATCACATAGTCAACAAATAACAAAGGTGTTATTGAAACCTGGCTAAAGGTGAATCCGGAGTTGGCACTTACAGTGACTACTCTTTATTTCCTTTTAATTAGTGAAAACATGAGTTACACAAGGGCATTAGACTTGTATTGAGGATATAACAGGTTGCTCACTAGAGGAGGTTACTTTAAAGCTCAGTTTTTTTAGCTGTTTATTTTTTGTTTTTAGTTTTCTAAAACTAAAAATGGCCTTAAACTCAGGGCCTTATGCATGTTAGGCAAACACTCTACCACTGATGTATACCCCCCACTCTCAGATTCAGTTTTGAATTTTTACAATATGAATCAGAGGCATCCTGAGAGAATCGTGAGAGAGAGAGAGAGAGAGAGAGAGAGAGAGAGAGAGAGAGAGAGAGTGTGTGTGTGTGTGTGTGTGTGTTAGCAATAATAATGCTAGCTGTCTTAATAGATTACTTATAAAATCTTAGGGTAGCTGCCTTAACGATGAACACTAAAATTTTAGTGTTAAATACAATAGATGTTTATTTGTAGTTTGTAGCTCACATAAAAATGCCAGAGGGATGGGAGTGTGTCTCTGCTCTTAGAAACCCTCATCATTAGTGTGGTTTCTAAGGTCACCTTAGGCATTAGTATCTAACTGTTAAAAGGTGAAAGAGGGAATAGAGGATTGTGGAGGGTATTTTTATGGGAAGCTTTGGAAGTGGCTCATGTCTTGTCTTGTACCCCTATCACCACAGCTTAGAAGCATAGCCACACCAAGCTGTGAGACATGGGGGCAGTGTAGACTTGATGTGCCACAGGAGGAAGGGGTGGCAATCATGCTGCATCATCACACGTGTAGTATGTGCATCTTCATTTTAGTAGAGAAACCCAAATGCTTTCACAAGTAATTGACTTGTCAACCATTTTAATCCTGGATGTTTGCTATATTTTTAGTAGAGCTTATTGTGATTTTACTCTCAATTCTTGTGATTACTAATGGTACTTACTCTTTTCATTATTTTCTGTGTATCACAGATTCCCTTTCATGAAGTGTCTGTTCAAGGCTCTTGTCCATTTTTCTTGCTTGTAGTTTTTTATTGATAGTAGGATTTCTCTTCATATTCTGAGTATGAGATTTTTTGTATCCATTGTATCTTGCTTTTCATTCTTTTAATTATGTCTCTTGATAAACAGAAGTTCTAAACTTCAGTATTTACATTTATCATCCTTTAACTTTTTATGAACTTTTTTCTACTCCAAATTTGCAAAAATACACATCTTATAGAATGTGTTTCTTGTTTCTTTAGAAGGTATTCAGCAGAGGATTGCTTTTGTGTTAGATGTAGAATAAAGGCTCAGATTAATTCTTTTCTATACAGATATCCAATTATTTTCATCATTGTTAATAAAATATTTTCTAACACATTTGCAATGGAAAAAGTTATAAGTTAAGTGTTCATATTTTTCCATTGGTCTATTAGCATTCATTATGCTCTTCCATACTCTTTGAATGTATTACTGTGCCTAGCCCACCACTTTCATTCTCTTTTAATGACTATTTGCTTAGCATGTAGAGGACTCTGGGTTTGATGCCCTAGCACTGCAAATTAATTAATTAATTAATTAACTATTAAGATATTCCTTGTTTGTGAATTGAAAGAATTAATATTTTTAACATGTCCCTACTACCCAAAGCAGTATACATATTCAACATGTCTATTAAAATTGCAATGACATTTTTAAAAAAATACAAAAAAATGAACAACTTTTACAGAAATACAAAAGACTCCAAATAGCTAAAATGATCCTCAGAGACAGAAACAAAGTTGGAGATATCATGCTTCCTGACTTTGAATTACATTACAAAGGACCTGTAGTACTAGCTAAAAACCAGACAGAGAGTAATGGAAGAGTATGTTCAACTAATTATCAACTGGTTCATCATGAAAACACAACAGGGAATAGAAAATCTCTTCAATAAACAATGTGGGGAAAACTGAAGATCTACATGCAGAAAAAGGAAGGAAGAGAAAAAAAAAGAAAGGAAGAAAAAGAAAGGAAAAAAGAAAGAGAAAAGAATGAAGGAAGAGAATAAAGGAAGGAAAGAAAAAAGGAAGGAAGGAAGAAAGAAAAGAAAAGAAAAATGGAACCTTATCCTATATCACACATACACACACACACACTCACACACACATGCACATAAGGTAACTCAACTTAAAATCAATTGAAGACCTATATTTAAGACATGAAATGGTAAATTTCTCAGAAATTATTGGGTTAAGTTCCTTAGTATTTGGCCTTGGCAATGATTTTTTTGTCTATTACAAACAAAAGCTCAGGCAAGAAAAACAAAAATAAGCGAGTAGAACTTATGGCACTCAAAATTGTCAGGCCCTAATCCTTGCAGCATGTATGTCACCTTATATGCAAGAAGGACTCTTCCGATCTTAAGAGCACTGAGATGGGGACATTATCCAGGGCTGTATGAGAGTGTCCATTGTAGTCACATAGGTTCCTAGAAGAGCAAGAGTGAGGAAGGATTGTCAGAGATGTGCTGAGGTCAGATTGATACCCGAAGGAAATGGTCACACCCGGAGAATGCAGACTGCATCAGAACCCAGAAAAGGCAATGAAACAGATTCCCCTAGAGCCTTCAGAAGGAAGGCAAACCTCCAGTTCCTCGATTTAGGACTACTGAGCCCCAGAACAGTAAGACAATAAATTGTTGCAGCAACAATAAGA